CGTTCACTGTGTTAGAAAAACTTGGCCATTTGGCCGTATGTTGCCGGCTGCCCATATCTTTGCCCGCGGAGTTTGTTAATGGGTTACCACTATCTTACCCTGCCCGTATTCATTCCACTCGCACAATCCTTCGTGACGGCAAACAAGTGCAGCAAGGTTTGGTTGAATGGTCCGACGACACGCTTGACGACGCCGCGTGGGAACCCTTGGACCATTTACACAACAAGTTTCCCTAGTTTCACCTTGAGGACAAGGTGGTGCTTGAAGACGTGGGGAATGTTATGGCGCCAACAACCACGCCGGAAGCACGAAATAACGAGTCAATAGAAGAACCGGCTTTGGAACCGGCAGGGCGCAGTCAATGAGCGCGAAGGCCACCGCCCACCGGGGTGGCAACGGGACTACTCTCTTTAATATCATTATCTCTTTTATCCTTTTAATTATGTAATTTAGATTTTTCTAGGTGAGCACAATTATAAGCTCCTTCGAGGGTTTCTTTACGGTTCTTTACCTCGTCGCTTTTTTTGAACCGTCATGATAGATAACCTAGTTTCATTAGGATTAGGGTTTTTACTTTCACCTATAAAAAGGGATGTACTCCTCTATAATTCATCATCAATAATACAAGAGAAATTTACCTAAATAGGACTAAAACATAATGACTTTCCCAATATAGGACCATATGTTTTTATTTCCCAATGTAGGACCTTTGGTCATTACAAGTAGTCATTATTCAACTAAATATCTATCATTAGTACTGGACATTATTTCTTCCACTAGGTCATTAATAAGTCCTATTTAGGAAATAAAAAAGTTTAAGTCCTACATTAGGAAAGTCATTATGTTTTAGTCCTATTTAGTGTAAATTTCACATAATACAACCCTAAAAACCCTAAACTCTCTCTCGTTACCTTAGGCGCACGGCGGACTCTTCCCCTGCGATTTCTCTCTTTCTCTCTTTTGACTTAGTAAAAACCCTAAATTAAAGTCATTTCTCTAAATAGCACTTAATGCATGCAATGCAATGGATTCAATATATAATATATAGATATAGATCGATGCATGCAATGGATTCAAGTACGTTTCTAATAAAACTTTATATCTAAACAATTTTAAACCGATATAGTTTGATGATACCAAGTACACTTTAATAAACTAGAAAAATTTATGTAGGTATAACTAAAACAACAACAATATATTTACGTAAATAAAACCTAGTAAATCAAGCATGGGACTAAAACATTATTGAGAACACTATATTGTTTTTGAAATATTTGCACTAAATAACATTAAAACTTAAGTCATTTCTCTAAATAGCATTTAAACTGTTTTTTTCCTTAAATAACACTTAATAATGTCCATAATGATAGGAAGTATGCATTAGAAATGAAAAATATGCAATACAAAGTTATGAATAATAAATGCATCTTAATAGGATCGAATAAATAATCCTTCTCTATTTATAGGTAAATGTTTTGGGTGTTTCTCCCATGCCCAAGCAAATGAGAGGACATGGATACCCTTCCATTGAATTAATGACATGTGGACTAATCAAGTAAATGACTCCACATCATTACAATTTTTTAAAATTCTAAAAACGACCCTATTCGGCCTGTTACATCTTACGGAGTATTTGCATTAGCTCTTCCCTTCGCTTTCATTATATTGTCCCATTTTTCCACTTCCATTGTTATACTTTGGTTATCATACTTATTACTCCCTATTTAGTACTCCATTTTGTGTTTTCAAAAAGAGAAATTATACTCTATTTTTAGAGAGTACTTTCTCTATCTAATTTAAATTATCAATTTTGATTTATGATATTTAAATAAAGTTATTTTCAATACCCGGAATTATAATTTATTAGGAAGTTAGAACATTAAAAATAAATAAATTTTACATATTAAAAATGATATAAAAAATCCCACGAAACAATAGATGATATGACTATTTTATTTATCAAAAGAGTAATGAAAATAGAAAAAATAAAATAAATAAATTTTGACCATGTAAATAGTTAACAAGCAAATTAATTTGGGACGAAAAAAATATTTTTTTTCATTCTCTTCAGATGCATTTTTTTCATTTTACCTTTTCTACTTACTCAATATTACTTATTCTTAG